AAACTAAATTTGGCCTCGTTTGCTTGATGGAATTTATCATGGATTTGGTACGTAAAAACCAAATATCATGGACTTTGTACACAATCCATCATTTGTTTAATGGATTTAGCAGGAATAAATTGGTGAGACCCACAGATTTTAAGGGTCTAAATCGATGGACCCGACGGACTTGAGAATTTCACCCCAAGAGGTGGAATTATATTTGTGTTGGGGTACAAAGTACATGATGACTTCTTACAATTTTAACCCTACTTATTTCACTAATCACCAATTTATCATCTTTTATTTACTAATGACCAACTTGTAGTGCATATTAATTTTGCATTCTATATTCATTATTATTCATTGCACGCAAGCACAACATAATTAATCTCAAAGCATACTTTGCAACATTGAAAGCCTTAGAGGATTGTCTAATTGTGCGTATAATATGAAGTTATCATTGATTAATGATGTTCATTTGTCAGGTTGTTGTAATGGGACGACGCTATTGGATGAAAATGATTTTATAACAAAAATTATAATGTAAAAATAAATAATACTCGATAAGGGCGCTAAGGTAAATTCCTAATACATAAAAATATAATAATGCCAAATCCATCATGAAATCCAACAAGCAAACGATGGTTTGTACCAAAAACCAAATGGGGCAATTCCATCATATATCTGTGGTTTTATAAAATCCTGGTTTTATCCAAAACTTTCATTTTTCAAATCTATGAAGCAAACAACCCTAAGTCTGGTATACAGGGAACACAGATTTGTGCAAATTACTCTTCTTAATGTTGATCGTCTAACTTGACTCTCAATCAACACGTCCGTCTAGATACTGCATAGTTTAGGCTAGGGTTACAGGTATTATATGCTACTCTACTATACATTTTTTTGTCAAACATGCCCCTCTACTATATTTCATATCAAAATTGCCCCTCTACTATGATATATTCTCAAACATACCCTTCCGTTAAATTTTCCATCCAAAAATCGTTAAACGCATAGAATGACCAATAAGAAATGACTTAATTACCCCTAAGAAAAAAACTAACAATAAAAACATTAACTTAAACCACACACCACCATCGTTAAAGCCTTTCAATTGACATTATCTTTTCTCAATATATCATACTCTCGGATGTGAGAACAAAATTCAATCAAATAAATATCTAAGATTATAGCAAAAACAATTAGAAGCGACAAGCAGAGATGAGCATTGAGCAGAGAAGATTGCTCCTCTTAAAATAATAATGATGATGATGATGATAATAATAATAATAATAATAATAATAATAATAAGAATAATAATAATAATAATAATAGAATATTGCTCCAAAAGTGAAAATGGGAATCCATTGCCTGCCGCTTCACTCTCCACCTCTCCATGTTGCTATCGACGACTAATTTTTCAGGCTGCGATAAGACTATTTTGAGATTTAGGTATCGGAACTCGATAATCGGTTCAAGTGCCTCCGATGCTAGGTTGTCAAAGGTAACTTGGGAGTTGGGACCAATGAAGCGGGAAGAAGAAAGAACTACAAAGGATTGACTGATTAGGATTAATTTGATGTGCCGTTCTTGAGTTTTTTTTTTTTTAACGGACGGAAGCCCAATTGGCCTATTAATTTGCGGTTGGTTTTTTTTTTCATTGTTATTTTTGTTTCTCAAGCATAATAAAGAGTGATTTTGTCATTTTTAGTTGGTCAAAACTGATTTGACCAAATTTAACGGTTTTTTATGAAAAATTTAATGGAAAGGTATGTTTGAGAATTTATCATAGTAGAGGGGCAATTTTGATGTGAAATATAGTAGAGAGGCATGTTTGAGAAAAATGCATAGTAGAGGGGTATATAATACCAATAACCCTTTAGACTAGAATAGGAGTTTCAAAAAGTAGGAGCCAAAGTAGTATATTTGTGAAAAGTTCGGATCAGGATAAGGTATTAACCCTTAATTTTATTATGACGAAACCCAAACTATAACACTACAAAAAGATTCTAGTCTAAAAAAAAATATCAAAGAAAATGTCATTCGGTTGTCTCCTAATAGCACTATTGTTATGTCTTTAAATTAGACGGTAGACATTGGATGCCTCTGATGATGAGCTCCCTCTTTTACACGAGTCCGGATCTGGTGACTAAGGGGGGTCCTTAGTCACTTGACTAAGCCCCCCTTAGCCTTTGGATTGATCTGATGGTCCAGATAAATCAATTAATTATTATTAAATAAGAAAGGTAGTTTTGACATTATCAATAAATTATTAACTCATATTTTTTGGTTTTGTTTTATTTATTATTGAATTCTTTTTTCCTATGCAACACGTCTCCTTACTTTCCATTTTTTGCGATGTAGAGAGAGAGAGAGAGAGAGAGAGAAAGAGAGAGAGAGAGAGAAAGCCATGGCGGAGGAAAGAGATCGCAACGCCGGCGGATGAGAGAGAGAAAGAGAAAGTCGACGATCTCGACGGCGCCGACGACAGTGGAGAGAGGGAAAGGAGATCACGATTTTTCCTCTAGTCATCCTCTTCTGCGTCGCCATTGCAGGCCATAGGAGAGAGAGAGAGAGAGAGAAAAGCAGCAGCGGGGAGAGAAGGACGTCGACGGTGGAAGAGAGGGGGGCGACGGCGAGGAGATCTCAACCGCGTCGGCGACGATGGAGAGAGGGAAAGACGATCGCGACAGAGGCGGTGGTAGAGAGAGAAAGTAGATATGTTGTCGCGAAAACAGAGGAGAGGGAGAGACGATGGTGGAGGAGAGAGAGAGGGGCAATGGCAGAGAGAGGGTCGACGATGGTGGAGGAAAGAGAAGCGGCGGGATGATTGAGAGAGAGAGAGGTCGCGACGGCTGTAGAGAGAGTCGGCGGCGGCAACGGTGGATACATTGTATTTTGTCGTCTGAAGAAAGAACAATGGTTTTTAATGAAAGTGTTGTCAGTTTGTATCATTAGTACTTTTGTACATAATGTCAGTATGATTTGTATAGTTTGTATGTTTTGTATTATTTATTTGTACATAAAAAATATTACAAACATGGTTAACAAAAATGACAAATATGTTGGACAAAAATAACAAAGCTTACAAACATTACAAAGGAACTTGACAAACATTACAAAATAACAAAGCTTACAAACATTACAAAACATACTAACAGTACAAAATGTCACTACTTATGATACAAATCAGTGTGATTTGTATGGTTTGTATGTTTTGTAAAAATGACAAACATGGTGAACAAAAATAACAAAGTTTACAAACATTACAAAAAAAACCAACAAACATTACAAAATAACAAAGCTTACAAAAATTACAAAATAAACCGACAAATAGTACAAACCATACTAACCGTACTAAATACCACCACTACTTACAATACAAATCAATAAATTGGAATTACAAACCAATAAATACAAAGTATACAAAACAAATAAAAAAACATTACAAATTACAATATATACAAATTAGTCATATAAACATTACAAACATAAAGATAAAAATGACAAACTAGAATAATAATTGATACAAACCAAATTAATACAAAATTACAAACGAGATTTACAAAAATTACAAATAGTCCGACAAACATAATAAAGTGACATTGTCGTCGGGAAATCATCGCATGCCATCTCCGGTCACCGAAAAAGCTTCCTCTGCTGCTGTCGAAAAGTTGGGAATAGGAATGGGGAAAAATCCCCATCAAAATGAACCCCTCTCTTGTGCTGGGAATTGGGAAAAATCCCCAAAAAAATGGACCGAGTGGGGAAAAAAACGTCGGCGCTGGGAAAGGAGGACCGCCGGCGCTAGGATGAGTCGGGGAGATGGCCGTCGCCCGTCAGAAAGAATTTCCAGAAACGCTCAGCGGGAGCGGCGACAGGTAGCTGTGGGCCCACTTTTATTTTTGTTTAATTTAATTGCTAAATAAATAAATTGTATATATACTATCATGTCCTTCATTAAAAGAGATTAATCTGAGACATTGGATTTTAATGAGGGGGAAGGGCTGGGATTCACTTAGCCACATGACTAAGGACCCCCTCTTAGTCACCTGATCTTAGCCCGGAGGACCGTCGACGTTAGGATGAGTCGGGGAGATGACCGTCGCCCGTCAGGAAGAATTTCCAGAAACGCTCAGCGGGAGCAGCGAGAGATAGTTGCGGGCCCACTTTTATTTTTGTTTAATTTAATTGCTAAATAAATAAATTGTGTATTTACTATCATATCCTTCATTAAAAGAGATTAATCTGAGCCTTTGGATTTTAATGAGGGGGAAGGGCTGAGATTCACTTAGCCACATGACTAAGAACCCCCCTTAATCACATGATCTTAGCCCCTTTTACACGGTTGCACTAAATATAGTTTTTATTAATTATTTCTTCGAACCATTTGAACCCAGAAAGCCATCCATCACGAGTCGTCGTAATTTGGTAGTTAGTGTTTGAACAAAGGAAAACATGTTGAGAAAGGGAACAGACCCTCCTCGGCTTGGCAAGGTGTTTTGGAGGGTCGTGATTTGCTCAAGCGTGGACTTCGATGGCAGATAGAGGATGGATCGTCTGTTCGTGCTCTGGACTAGGGATGGCAAATTACCCACCCATGGGTAATTATACCCAAATTCAAGTAGACCCATTGATAATGGGTTGGGTATGGGTGAAGTGCATATGGATTTGGAGGTTTATAGATGGGTTTGGGTTTGGGGCTTCCATAATCTAAATGGGTATGAGTTGGATATGGATATCCATTTACTTGAGGGTGTTTTAACTACTCATGCAAAAATTGGACCTATTTGTAAAACTTGAAAAGTTTAGATACCAAAATGTAAGACCAAAAAAATTTAGGTACCAAAACGTAATTTTCCATCGATATTTTGAGGACTTATATGCAAACAAAATTAATTTTAGGTACTAAATATGCATATATATTAAGTTTGGGTACCAAACTGTAATTTGTATTTGGGCATGGGTACAAATCCAAATCCATTTGATATAAATCCAACTCAACCCAAAGTAAATGGGTATGGGTACAAACACATCAAACTCTACCCATATCCATCTATTTGGATTTCATACCCAACCCAATTGGGTTGGATAGTAAGAAACCCATGGGTATGGGCAAAGTTGCCATCCCTACTCTGGACGATCACTGATGGAGGGGGTTGGAACAAACCTTTATTCTCTTCTCTTTTTCCCTCTTCCACTGTGCAGCTCATCATGAGTGTCCCCCTACCCCGCCACTTAACAATAGACAGGCTGATTTGGCACTACTCGTCCTCAGGAGAGTATACGGTTAAGTCAGGTTATCAGGTTCTCACTAATGAATTGAATGCTCTTCACCCTCCCCCTGTGCTGCCATATGATTGTAGGTTTTGGAAGCTGTTATGGAGCTTGTCGTTGCCTCCGAAGCTCCGCAACTTCACGTGGCGGATGGCTCATGGATTTCTACCCATTCTCTCCGTTCTCCTTCACAAGACAGTGGTAACCTTAGCAACCTGTCCGGTCTGCTCGGACTGTGTGGAGTCATTCGGACATTGCTTCTTTCAATGCCGGATTGCGCGTGCTGTTTGGGTTTTGGCAGGATTTGAGCACATTCGTCTTCACCTGGAGGCTTTGGATTGGGATATCTCATGGAAGCAATTATTTTTCCCCTTGCAGTTATCTAAAGTGCAGATAGCTGAAATTATATTTCTCTTTTGGAGGATCTGGAAGGGTCGATGCTGGGCGGTTCATGGGGGAATCCAATATTTACCTCCTTCATTTGTCCGTCAGTTTGCGGCTCAAAGAGATGAATGGCTCGTAGCTTCCCAGGACCAGTCGTCGGAGGGAGTTGCTGGTTTGCGAGGCCTGCCCCGGGCTGCTGCACTGCCTCTCTCGGGCATTTTGTTCTCTCAAGCTCCGGGTGGGTGCGGGCTCTATCTCTTCGGCAATAACGGTGGGCTTCCATGGATCCTCTCGGCGAGGTAGAGGTGCGGGCACAGGGTTCGTTGGGTTGGATTCGACTAACCAAGTTATGTGTGTTATGGATAAGTACTACGAAGGCATTACTGATTCTCTCCTTGCAGATTTGTTAGCCTTTCGTGACGCTTTGGATTGGTGTCTGACGCATGGTTTTTTTACTCTCAAATTTCATGGTCATTCGCATATGGTGGTTCGATTTCTCTTGGCGGGAGACTCTCTTCATGCTACGGCTGGGGCAATCCTCGCTGATATTCGTCAGTTAACAAGGAGGCTCGAGTTTCGTTCTTGCTCCCTTGTTACTCGTCGAGTTAATAGAGCGGCCCATTTTGTGCCCCAAAACGCTCTCTCATCAAAATTCGGCGATTAGTCGACTTCCGCCCCTGGATTTGTTATGTACTTTGACTATGTTCCGGACTTCTGTCCGGTTTTGACTATATTAAAAATAAAAAGGAAAACATGTTGAGAATAATAATAGGAAAAAAATAGTTTATAGGAAATAATTAAAATATGTTGACTTATTCTTAGCCTGATAAAACCCTAACTAGATATGGCATTTAGCTTAAGATATTGGATCCTAAAATCTGCTTGCACGTTCTACCTCTCAAGAAAATAGAAAAATCTTGAAAGAAAACCATCATTTTCACTCCATTGGTGAAGCAGGATCAATCAAACCCATTGTTGGATTATAATTGGTCAGTACACGTGGGGTTAAATGCTAATTATAATTACAAATTGTTTGATCTTGGAGTAGGCGGCAAGTAAAAATAGCCGAATAGGTTTAGGATTACTCCCTATAAATATGTTACCATTAGGCAATCAATTCGTATCTTCCGATTCGGCAAATTAATCAGCGACTGCTCTTCGTCCCCTAGCTCAATCAACTTATTATTGCCATGAGGATGCCACCAGCGGAGCGTGGAAAGCGTTCAAAACCCAAGGCAAATGATCCTAATAAGAGGGCGATGAGTCTGGAGGAGAAGCATAAACTAGGAATAGTTTTGCAGAAATTGCCGGAGAAGATACTACAGCTGGTTGTGCAAATAGCAGAGAAGACGAACGGCCATTTGAGGCGGGATGGAGATTTCATTGAGCTCAACCTTGAAACTCTTGATACCGAGACTCTGTGGGAGCTTGATCGATTTGTCTCCAAATTGAAAAAATTGGTGAGAAAGATTAGGCGGCGTCGAGCATTAATGGGTGGCAACACTGCTTCAATTGATGTAGTAAGTGAAGGCATCAGGATGTTAACAGTGCAGGACAATAATGTCAAAAGTTAAATAGTTCCAACAAGTATTGATTTCTCTTATGAAAGGACAATGTTAATAGTTCAGTCTCATTTTTAAGTTGTATTGATTTCTCTTTGACCCTTCTTGGTAGATTCATTGAGTTAGTACCATTTTTATTGTATGAATGAACGAGAAGCTTTCAATCCAAGTCTCGTTCTTTTCACGATTTACAATTTTCTTGTGTCAAAGTATTATCGTTATAACAAAAGGGCATGTTTGATAATTTTTTCAAAGTACAAGGGCATATTTGATGTAAAAAATAGTAGAGGGGCATGTTTGATAAAACGTCATAGTTGAGGGGCATATTATACCTATAACCCTTTTATATTTTTAATTATTAAACAATTTACAAATTAATTAACCTGCACGTCCGTTCTCCTCCCCGCCAACTAGACGTCCCTTAGACTAACTCCAACCCTTGCTTGCAAATTTGGAGAAAGTGAACATTTTGCCTTTTTTCATCTCCAACCCATCAATAATTTAGCTTCCAAATTTGGAGAAGGGAGTGTTGGGGTGGATAGGTAGCAGCTGGAAGGGGGAAAATGGGCAAAAATAGCAGCTGGAAGGGGGACCCCGCGTGCAGGCGAGGACCACCCGCGGGAGGCGCGCCTGGCCGCGGGTGGTCCTCGCTTGCACGCGGGGCCCCCACTGCTGCTGCCTTTTTTTTTTCAATTTGTTTGGGTGGTTATTTGTGTGGGTGTGTTTGCGTTTTAACTTGAAAGAAGTAATATAGTGACAATAAACGGTCACATTGCAACGGACACATTTTAACGGCCATAAAACGGTCATATTTTTTTTTCTAGATAATGAGTAACTTCTCATAGTTTTTCTGCACTCATTCTCAAATCAATCTCTCTCATTCTCATCTATTTATCATCTCTCAAAACAAAAACATGTCAAGTAAGAGAGGACCCAATTGGAAAGCTTATGAAGATGTAAACTTGTGCAAATCTTGGATATCAATATCTGAAGATGGAGCGGTTGGCATCAATCAAAAGAGCACGAGATTATGGGAAAGGGTGGAGAGGGAATTTCGAAGAAGCGATCCTACAACAATTCGTACTACGGATTCAATGGAATCCCGACTGAGACTTATCAGTAACAAGTGTAAAGTTTGGAAGGGAGCTTTGCAGAGGGCGGAGAGGAGTCAAACGAGCGGTACCAACCAAGTTGATGTGGTATTGTTTTGGAAACTTTAACTTTTGTATTTCTTATTTTTATGTATATTTACTTATCTAACTTGTGTATGAATAATTTTGATAGGAATTTGTAGCAAGACAGATATATAAGGAAGAGAATGGGGACAAAGCCTTTGAACATGTGCATTGTTGGGTCATCCTTCGAAATTGCCCAAAGTGGTATTGTGACCCTCAATTGGTTGTCGGTCCAATTCCACCTATGGGTCAAGGTTCTCAAAGTTCTCCCATAGGTATTGGTTCTCAATCCTCCCCTGTGGAAGGCCTCGACGACATACCAGACGAGGGAGCTACGCCTTTCGTGCTGTCTCGCCCTGAAGGACGCGACAAACAAAAGGCAGCAAAAAAGAAAGGTAAGGTAGTTGCAGAATCGTCAGACATGTACACTACTCAACTGCTAGAGTTTGGTAATGATATGAGAGAGAGGCAAAAGTTGAGGATGGAGTACGAAAATAGAAAAATTAATCTTCAAGAGAGGAGACTAGAGAGGGAAGCCGAGGAATGGGCATACAAGTGGCAAGTGAGGGAGCAGGAAGCGGAACAATGGGCTCTTGAGAGGAAAGAGAGGGAGGCCGCAATACTTCAACTAAATATGAATATTCTGGAGAAGGATTTGTCAAAGATGACACCAAGAAAGAAGAAATTTTGGAGGAGTAAACAAAATGACATCTATGGGTACGATCAAGATGATCCCAACTCTAATCCAGGAGATGGCGGAGATGGAGATGCAAGTAGTGGAGGAGATGGAGATGAAAGTGGAGGTGATTACTTTCCTGTTATGGATTATGATTAGAAGAAGGTCCTATGTGTACTAATCGAGGCTTTTATTGCTTTATGTGGTGTGTTGTGTGTTGTATTTGAACTTTGAGCATTTTCATGTGTAATAAAAAAACTAGTCGTTATTGAATCTTTTGACTAACTACAAAACACACTTTATTGAAACATGAAATACAATCACACACTGAAACTTGAAAGACAAACTACCAAACAAGCAATACAATCCATAATTAAACAATACTAGTTATTGCCCTGCAAATTCCAAAGATGCTCAACCAAGTCATTTCGAAGCGCATGATGTGTTGTTGAGGAGCGAATCCTATTATTTCTAGCCAAATAATCAACCAGAGTTGGAACGTGTCGGTTGATTGATTGAGGTTTTTCATGGACCTCATAATCAAGGTCATCATCCATCTCATCATCAGAATCAACTTGCTCATCCTCGATTATCATGTTGTGTATTATAATGCACGTCAACATTATATTGTTCAGTGTGACAACATCCCAAGCTCTTGCAGGGCCACGAACAATTGCCCATCTTGATTGGAGGATTCCAAATGCCCGCTCTACGTCTTTGCGGTGTGCTTCTTGACGTTGAGCAAACAAAGCCTCTTTGTTTGACCTTGGATTGCTGAAGGTCTTCACTAAAGTCGACCATGAGGTATAAATACCGTCGGCCAAATAATAGCATTGATCATAAGCATGGCCATTTACCTCAAATCGTACATGTGGAGCGCTTCCATTGACAATACGATCAAACACTGGCGACATCCCCAGAACATTTATATCGTTGTTCGATCCAGGAGACCCAAAGAATGCATGCCATATCCATGTGTTGTAGGAGGCCACCGCCTCTAGAATGATTGTTGGCCTATGCATGTGGCCGGTGTATTGTCCTGCCCAGCCACTTGGACAATTCCTCCATTCCCAATGCATACAGTCAATTGATCCAATCATTCCAGGAAAGCCACGTCTTGAGGCTTTACTGAGTAAGATCCTTAAATCGGCAGGAGTAGGTGCGCGAAGATATATGGCCCCATACATGTTGATAATGTTGTTGCAGAACTTTCTGAACACCTCCATCAAAGTTCTCTCACCCATACGAACATACTCGTCAAGTTGATCAGCTGGAGAACCATATGCTAGCATGCGCATCGCACCAGTAAGCTTCTGCTCTGGAGATAATGATAATTGACCCAAGCTATCACGCCATAGAGCAAATGAGGGGTCAAACCTCACAATGTCGCCCATAATGCGATGGAATAATCTTGGTTGCATCCGATAGCGCCTTCTAAATATGGGAGCATTGTATACTGGATTTGGATCGAAGTAATCCCTCATAAGACGGCGATTACATTCGACCCTTTCACGATCAATGTGATGTCGACTTGTAGTTTGACGTCGACTTGATGAACCTTCAGCCAGCCTCCGGCTGATTAAACTCAACCGTAGGTGGTGAAACCTCTCGTACTCTTCGATTTCTTCTTCTCCTCCCGACGATGAGCTATCTGACATACTCATGATGAATGTGTTTGTTTTAGAAATGGGAAGAAGTTTCAGTGAGTTGATGAAAAATGAAGAATTGTAATTTATAAACACATATGATGCACAAAATGACAAAAAAACGGTCATAAAGTAACGGCTAAAAAAACGGTCATATTTGGATCGATCCAAAAAAACGGTCATAAAGTAACGGCTACAATAAATGACTAATTTTGAAAAAAAAATTATCTCAGAATTAAAAAAAAATTACATCGAAAATTTTGTTTTCACAAGTAATAACAAACTATAACAAAATTAAAGTGAATTACAAGAATGATATTGTAAATAAGTATGGATTATGGAAACTAAATCAAAAAAAGATGTGGGAAGCTAAATTTGGAAGCCTATAGGGTTGGAGCAAAAAGGTGTTTTGGGGAGGCAAATATGCACATTTGAGAGCTTGGGAGGCTAAATATAGCTTTTTGGGTTGGAGTTAGTCTAAAGGCTTAAGCCGGTCCTTTTATGGGAACTCTAACGGATTTTTTTCCCAACAAGAGAGCTCTGCCGTCCTTTTCTTGGAAGTCGGAGTGGCCTAGGGCTTTTTTGGAGAGAGAGTTTTTTTCGGTCGACTTTTTGACAATCAGAGACAGCGGAGGAGGATTTTATGGCGACAGTGGTGAATTCGTGATGTTTGTCGATCTATTTTTCAATGTTTATAAGTCCAGTTTGTAATTTTATATTAATTCGGTTTGTATCGTTTATTATTATAGTTTGTCATTTTTGTTTAATGTGTTTGTAATGTGTATATGAGTAATTTGTATATATTTTGATTTGTAATATTTTTTTTAGTCAAGTTTGTATACTTAATATTATAATTTGTATATTTTGTATTCATTGATTGGTAATAAAATTTTACAATATTTTATTTAAGTAGTGTTAATTATTTTCTTTTTTGAAAAGTAGTAGTGTTATTTTTTACTGTTAGTATGTATTGTAATGTTTGTCGGTTTATTCAGTAATGTTTGTAAACTTTGTTATTTTGTAATATTTGTTGGTTTCTTTTGTAATGTTTATAAGGTTTCACTACAAGAAACTTCACTTTTTGCGACAAAAATATACATTACAAAGTACAAAATCCTTCGCGAAAAGATATATGCTACGAATTCGTCCGTCGCGAAAAAATCCAAAATTCGTTGCCTATAGTGCGTCAATAACAGTTTTGCGATGAATTTTCGTGAATCGCCGCAGAAAAACTAAATTTGTCGCTGAAATATCTCCAACGTTTCTGCGACGAACTAATTCGTTGTATCAGAAAATTGTCCATCGCGGAAGCCTATGTCCCGCCTTCTACTAAATTGCGCCACCTACGATGACGAACTAGTGTCATCCACCATGTTTGTCATTTTTGTCAACCATGTTTGTAATGTTTTTTATGTCTAAAAATAGTCTGGTTGACTTTGGGATGAAACTACTCTATATAAAGATGGAGCCTCTAAAGTCAACCCGGGTGTCTTTCAATTTTGTATGGTTTGTTGGTCTAGTTTGTCATTTTGGTCCATCATGTTTGTAATGTTTGTATGTAAAAAAATAACAATCTGGTTGAGTTTGGGACAGAACCTCTCTATATAGGGATGGAGCCTCCAAAGTCAACCGGGTTGTTTTTTTTCATTTTTTATGGTTGATATTGTTTGTCGGTCTAGTTTGTATTGTTTGTATAGTTCGTATGTTTTGTATTGTTTGTAAATCTAGTTGTCTGTTTTGTCGCT